TGAATTGTCACACCTTGGATATCACATCACTGATAAACCGATATTGACAAAATCTAAATTTTGTCTTGCTTAGAAAGACAGTATTCTAGTAACTAATAAATCTATAATCATATAGGTAAGTTAAAAAATCAAGATTTGTGTAATAGCACATAATAATTTGTTTATGCCAATAACCAATAAATTATAAGCTTTGCAGCTTTTCAGAAATTCTGAGAGCTTTGGCGTTTCCGCCAAGCAGCACTGCGTGAAGGATGATTCTCATTGGTCCGCTCTCATTGTCACTCTCGAATGTCACACTAAGCGGGTAATTTGAATTTGTTATATGCATTTTAATTGTTTGAATTTCATAGGGTGGGAACTGTTAGCTCCGGATAAATTTATTTGAGTAATATAGAAATTTTATTAATATTGCCCAATAAAATTATAACGTTGACTCATTTAAAAAGGAAAGTTTATATAAACTCTTGTACTTGTACGTGCCCTTACTTTTCTGCTGCGGACACGCAAAATTTATTTTCGATAAATTTTGTTAATTTGTTAATCAAAACAGCATATTTTCAGTATTTCATAAGAGTCTCAGGTTTTAGTAGTAAGAAGATTTACTTTTACATGCCCTTACGTTTCTGCTGCGGGCACGCAAAATTTATATTCAACCAATTTGGAATATACCGTAGATATACATTCATGTGTATTACCGGAATATTTGTTTTCAACATACTAGGTATATTCACCTGCACATATACATCATATGTACATACCTGGCATGTTCATCTGCACATATACCCAATATGTAAATATATGTACATACCTAGGATATACTTTTTATGAACTTTGATGAATATACATGCATGTATATTCCACGAACATTCATGGTAGGAATGTTCACCTATGTATATTCCCAGGAAATTCCCGCAATGTTCTGTATATTTTTTGAACATTCTGGGATATTCATAGAATATCAAATGCTATCTGGGCAGGAATTAATTTTGATTTGGAATAAATACAAGTCCATTTGTTATTTCACATTAAACGTGATCTATTCGCAGTAAGTAACCAAAACGCCAAGTAGAAAAAATGCTGATACAGCAAACCTAATCAAAAATTCTGTAGGCAAATTTCGAACAAAAAACTGTAGGCGGTTCAAGAACCTCCTAGAATGCCCTACTTGATGCGGTACAACATCCGCCTCTGCATTCTGTACTGGATTTGGCCCCTGCGAATCATGGCTTGCATGACGCGGAGTAGCGCTCTTTCGCTGTACCCCTGTTGCACAAAATCATCGATAATGGTGTGCTGAGATACCTGCGTTCCAATGGCGAATCGACGCTTTAGTTGCTTCTCCACTTGGTTCAACATGTCCTGGTCGGCTTCGGTCGTGAATCCTTCAGCACCTGGAAAACTTTGTTTTAGATTCGCCGCATCTGGAGAAACTCAAATCTGGAGCAAAAGTGTTTCTGTTAACAGCCACTAGAAACTTACAGGACAGTGACCCACTGACAGCCGCGGCTAAAGTGGACACTTGGAACAAACGAAGAGACTCCTCCACGTGACTGACGGTCGCAAAAGGCAACAGTTGCATTTTGGCCAATGACTCGGACATGCGAACGACGGCCTCCAATTGGCGCACTGTGATGGGAATCGAGTTCTTCTGATCTGCTGCTTTTTCGTGCCTGTTGGCTTCCGACCTGCTCAGAAAGTTGAGTACTCAAACCCCCTCCAGCCATAGCTACTCACCGCATCAACACGTATCTCCTCTTCAACAGTTCGCCCGCTTCAGTGTTCAGGCGAGGCCCACACCGCGTCCTGCAATAGTTGATGTACTTCTTTAGAAACTCCATTGATAACTCGCCTTCTTTCGGTTCGGCCGTTATTTGACCGGCGTTCATGTGGATGTTGATCACATGCTTGGCTACAGTCTAGGATAGCACCCCATAGAATACCGTCAAAGGTGTTAAACACTGCTGGCGCTTACCGTGTCCCTTGCTTGGTCGTGCTCATCTTTCACAATGAAGATCATATCAAATCTGGACAGGATTGTGGGCATGAAGTCGATGTTTTTGTCCCCCTGAAGAACGCTTTGGTCAGTCACAATAAAAAAACAATAGTGATTGGTACCTTTGCATCGTCCCATCGGCCAAAAGTGCTGTTGGCGGCAGCAAACACCGAACACCTAGAGTTCAGCGTTGTGGTTATTCCCGCTTTGGCAATGGAGATGGTCTGTTGTTCCATGGCTTCGTGAATTGCAACTCTGGGCCCATTCGATTGTAAAGCATAAATTGTCCACTTGGAGGGTCACACTACTCTACTCACCGATCGTCCTCTCGCATTTTGTCAAATTCATCAATGCATACCACACCGCCGTCCGCCAACACCATAGCGCCGCCCTCCATGATGAAATTCCGACTGGCTGGGTCCCGGATCACTGAGGCTGTGAGACCAGCTGCAGAACTGCCTTTTCCCGACGTATAGACAGCGATTGGGGCCACTTGAGCGGCGAATTTTAATAGTTGGGACTTTGCAGTTCCCGGGTCACCCAGAAGCAACACGTTGATGTCCCCTCGGCGTGTCAAGCCGTCTGGCAATCGCTTCCTGGAGCCTGAATCAAAGTGTTTTGCAACTCCTGACCTCAGCAACCAAGTGCTGGTTGCCGCTTATTGCTTATTCACCTCCGAACAACAAGCAGGCCACTGCCTTTTTAATGTCTTCCGAGCCGTAGATCGATGGAGCGATGCTGGTCGCAATGCGGTTGTAAATGTCCGGCATCGCAGCCATTCTTCTGAAGAGATCTTCGTCTTCAGAGGTGACAGTGCCCAGGCCCGGCGCCCCGATGCCCTCAGAGTCTAGTTGCATGCCCACCACCCGCATGTAGGCTGCTCGGACTCCAGTGATGGCTCGTTCATTGCCTTCCCGCTGTGGAAAACTTGTTCAAGCCAAGCATGAAGGTGGCCCCAGCGTCTAACACTTACCCTTGACGGTCTCGCTACTTTCTTAATGGAGTAGACCCCCAGGATGAATACTCTGTTGCCGGGAATGACTTGGTCGCACAAGTACCGATCGCAGTAAAGCAGCATATGCTTGGGAATTTCCCCTTGTGGCAGTCCATCGGAAAGTTCCTGGAGCTTCAGTATTTGAAAATCGACCAGCTTGCACTTGTCGGGCATAATGAAGTATGGATCGATCGAGCATTTCGGGCGGCCGGCCTGTTCGCTGCAACATGCTCGCATTAACTTCAGCTCACGGTGATTTCGCGCTTTTCCAGACTTACGTGGCACACTTTCGAGGCATCACATACCCCTCAAGACCCGGTTTCACCGACAGGTTGGGGATCACATTGCTGCAGCTGCGACACTGGATGGAAATCTTGGTGGCTTTGGCTTTGATGCCGGACGCACTCAAAATTATTCCTGGGATCTTGACCAGACGCGATACAACCTCTGACTAGGAAAACAAACGCAAATTCAAATCCAGTGTTGGGCAAAAATTGATTTTTATTAAAAAAATCAAAAATCACTGATTCAATTGAAATTCATTGATAAATCCGCTTAATTAGCTGTTCTAAATCATTGCAATTGTTGCCGAGAAGATTCAAGCTAAGTTGAACCGATTCAATACTTGTCCGAACGCATTTTCGACGGAAAATATTTGTTGCAACGGCCCGCGACGCGTTTTCGCACGTTGCCCGGCGTAATCTATAAATGCCGTCGCCTTTCTTCGGTCTTATTCATTTCGTCACAAAATATCAAGAGAGGCTAATGTTGAAAAGTGTGTAGATTTTTTGTGTTTGTGTAATAATAAAAAGTCAGTTTAAAAAGAACGCAATGGCTGGAAGAAAAGAAGACAGTATTTGGCAGTTTTACATCAAAACCACCTCTTCTAATAAGTCAGGAGTTGCAGAGCAACTTGCAAACAGTGTAAGAAAGAGATTCAAGGCATAGTACAAAGACTGAAGGCACACCATGGCGTTTGTAAGAGGCAACAAAACAAACAAGGCACAACAACAAATGCAAACATCGATTTTCCGCCCAACTTTTTTGGGACTGGGAGTGCTTCTTTCTCCTTTACATTTCGCTCGACAAGCTCCAACTCACCTCCAGAATCTCCATCATCTTACACGCAAACAACTACCGAGTTGGCTCACAAGAGAAAGAGACGTGAAAGCCAATACTCAATGTCCAATTTTGTTAGGCGAACATCAGCAGGGGAAAACATCTTATTGGCAAACAAATAGGTAATTAAAATTATTTTTTCTGATGAGGTGCTGAAAAATATGAACGGACTTTAGTGGTGGCTAGAGGCACAGAGAGATGAACCGGAAATTGCGAAACACTTGCCCACTATAAAACAGTTTCTTTGTGCAACTGCATCTTCTGCGTCTGTCGAAAGGATGTCCAGCACATTCGGATTGGTTAATTCGGATATCAGGAACAGATGGGGAATCGAAAAAGGAGGGAAATTAGCGTCCTCTTCAGACTTTATAACGAAAATGAAGAGAAAAAGAACTGATTTCCGTTTTAGTATTATTGAGTTTACCATTAATACCGTTTAATTTTTAAGTTCACATGTACCGTTTTCTATTTTGATTTTCATTTCTTAGA